CCGGCCTCCCCATGCACTCCGCTCTGCTGCCTTCAGAAGAACGCAGCTCTCCTGATTAACTCGGCCTCAGTTTTGTTAAAGAGCCGCTCGGCGCCAGTCGGCCGATGCGCCACAATAAGAACAATCTCTTGTCTCTTTATATTTACCCTGAAGTCCTGCATGTGCGAGCCCCTCCGGCCCCCCCTCTGCAAGCATCTGCGCCTCCGCTCCACTTTTCTGCCTCGGTCATGACTTGGTGTCAGATGTGATTCTTTTTTTCCCTTTTTGGATAAACAGCTGCTCTCTCCGGGCAGGGAGGACGGTGATGTGATGTGGGCCACAGGCGACAAAAAACTGAAACAAAAAGTGATAATCCTCCTGAATGAGACTGTCAGAGACAACTGCGCATTTCCTATTAACCCCTGGAACTCAGCCGCGTGTCTGCGGCTTCCGCTGACAGCCACACAAAACTCTTACTTGCCATAAAAATGTCTAGAATAATATTTATAAACCTTTATTATTAACACGTCACCTAATTTCTCTCCTAATCTGCAGGAACCAAAGTGAAAGCCGCAAAACAAAATTATTTCACATCTTTAACTGCAGAGGGTTGAGCAGCCACCTGTGCGTCGGACACAGCACGTTATGTAATTTAAGAGCATGAAATGTTTGCACATCTCCGCCGGGTTACACACTTGTTGCTCGGCTTCCATCACATTGATACAGCCATGAGTCCGGAGCCGGCTCCAGACAGGAGCGGAGCCGCTTTCCACAAGCGCGGGGAGCACATTATATCAGACTCAGTGCGAGTCCCCGGAGCGTCCCGCTGCAGCACAGCCGGTGACAACGTGAAAAGGCGCGTTTCCACTCGGCCAGGTGTTGGAAAATAAATGCCAGCGAGCATCAGCCTCACGCGGGAACGTAAAATCATCAAGGATGTCTCGCACATGCCCTCGCAGTTTTCTCCAGAGTTATAGTGTGGCGTGTACGTGCTATAATCTGGCCGGACAGCTGACTTGTTTGGAATGCTGCACCTTCAGATTTATGAAATGACAGAGATGTAGCAGCGCCGTGGGAGCGACTGCTTGAGCCGCGTGCAAGGAGCTTTAGTGGGGAGGAAAAAAAAAAAGATTAGCAACATATGGAGGTGGATAACGGTTTTTCTGCCGGGATACTCAACTGGATAATTGTATCAACAATGCTTGCGCAAATTAGTCACCATTTATTTGTTCTGTGCCGTCAACGGTACAGAAATCTCCATTAGGCGCGATTTAAAAGTCATTAAGTCGAGGGAGGACTGCTCCGAGCTGCTGGTAGATCTACATAGACTGTGCTGTACATTAACATACTGTCTGTGTTGGGGATTAATATAGGCAGACAGTAAAAATGCTTCTTGGACTTGGTATTTCTGGGGAATGTGTGTGTAAAAGATCTTGAAAAAATGCGCAAAATAAAGTTTGGAAACATTTAAAAACACGAGCAAATTAAGAAGTTTTGGTCCCAAATTGTCTCCTGCCCAGGTAATTTAGATACTTATGATACTGACAGTTTTTTATTATCTTATACCCAGAAATTAGTCAACACAAGCAGGTTTGGAGGCCTAAATTGAGACATTTGACGCACAGAGTTGTCAGTCACGCTGTGAGCTGGGGCTGTATTTACAGTTAATTCACTTCGTGCATGACGCTTTCCATAAGTAGGAAGTTGACTAAAGCCTTTCTTTGCCCTTGATTCGTCCGCTCAATACAACACAATACAGCTGCAGATGTGGAAATGTGCGTAAAAGCGTCTTCAGTCCCGCTGATTTGGCCCCTGTGTCAGCGATCCGGGCCAGAGACGCTCTAATTACAACATAACGGGACAGTTTTGCGCCATATTCGTCTATAATCGAGTATTGTTATTTTCTTCCTCCCCTCGACATTGTTCCTTTCTTCCTTTTATCTCTCCATCTTCTCCTCCCCATCTCCCTGCATCATCTCTCCGGCTATATTTAGCGGCTAGACTGAGGCCTTGGCGCCAGACCGTTTAAGACCTGTCAAAGTCCCTCATATTTCCCCTTGTCACATGGAAACCCGGCGACCAGCGGCCCTCTACTCCTCCTCCTCCTCCTCTTCTCCTCCTCCTTCTTTTTTCTTTCCCTTCTACTCCCTCTTCCTCCTCGTTCAGCTCCAAGCAGCCCTCCTCCTCCTCCTCCTCTCCTCCATCTCCTCCACTTCCTCATCTACAGCTCACTCTGCTAAATGAAACATATCAGTTCTCACTTGTAGGAAAAGCACATACACACACACGCACGCACACACTGGACCATACTATGATATGATTTGGAACAATGCAATGAAACAGATGCTTTTTGGAATAAGAGTAATGCCTGATGCCTCACAGCTCTTCTATAAAACAAACTTCATGACAAACTCAATCATAAACTACAACCACTCGCATTCAGTTACCTGCCGGCCTGTTCTGCCCTGCTGTTCTCATAGTCATGTATCTGTCTGACTGACAGGTAGACCGCCAGGTGGGGGCGCTATAGCGACCCAGGGGACAGCGCTGTCACATCCGCAGGCGTTACAGCAGCCAGCATTTGGCACAAGTTTGATCAGGTTGAGACTCACACAGTGCTGATGTTCACACTGTCTCAGTGGGATCATTTTCACTTATTTTAATTATGGTGAGCCATGGGTTACTGCTCTGAGGGGACCCTTGGGTGGCCCTACTTTGCGTGCCGCTCAGTGTGGCAGCAGGTGAACGAGAGCATGACGCACTGCAGGATTGCGCGTGTATTTATTGAGTGAATAGATCACTGGATGTGCCTGCTTCCACATATACCACAGTGACATACTGTCATTACTATGCTCCTGAAGCCTTAATAAAGAATCTTCTCTGCTGTCGGGTTGCTGGTTGAAGGCTCCGTTGTGCCTTTGAGCACATAGGCAGCACGGTGCAGTGAGGTCTGTGGGGCCTCCTGTATCCACACACATTCCTGATTTGATAAAATCACCGATATAGATGTAAAAGTAGTTGTTGTGTATCTATGCATCAGATTTAAAATAAATGAAAAACAAATTTGATCCCACTGAATCTTAAAATTCACCTTAACGCGTCTCTCCTGTGCACTGAGAGCGGCGTTTAGAAATGTCCCCAAGCTCAAACTAAAAGGCCTCTGCACGAGCGACTTTGTTAAAAAAAAAAAAAACTTGCACATTTTAAAAACAGATTGCTGTATTATTTTCTTATTCACCCACATTTATTTGGGCTACTTTTATTTATTTGAGATTTGTTTCAGTACTGATTCACAAAAATAGACTTTTATTTTGAAAATAGATCCATTTAACCTGAGTAAAATCCCTCCTTTAATTGGCGCTTATTTGTGTTTTTGAAGCTTTATGTGAGAGTTCTAAAAATCTACTTGTGCCGGTTACAGAGAGATTACACTCACTGTTACTGTTTGTGTTCAACTCATTCTTAATCAGGAAACATTTAAGCGCCGGCTTTTTTAATATTATCCAGCTGACAATATTTTATTACTGTTTTATGTTCGTTGGGACACATTTTTTTAAAGCCAGCAAAATAATCTTTTGTGTGTTTTGCAGATGTGTTGACAGCGTGGAGAAATTGAATTAGCAGCTGCAGCGCCGGGAACATTGGATCACATTAGGAGCGCAGCGGAGGAGCAGAGGCTACCTGCAGGGCCGGAGGGAGAGCCTCCTCTCTCCTCTGTCCCTGTCTCACACAGCACAGCACAAATACTGCAGCATCCACTCCTGGATATATTCACAAACTCCTCATCAAAGCCAGAAAAAAGTCTCACTTTCAATTAGTTTTCGAGGTGGTTTAAAATGCCACATTTTACTGTTACTCCCAAACAAACCGGTCGAACAGGACAACAGCTGTAATTTAAAACCTGAAATTATTCCACAAGACGAAATTTAAGTGAAGTTTCAACAAGTTTCAAATGATTTCGCGATTAAAGATGATAAAAA